GTGACTATAGTGAAAATGTTGCGGCGTTGCATCGGCATTAGAATATAATTATATGAAGTAGCAGTTAATTACTGTAGGCGAGTGAATTTAAGAAAAAGTATTTCAAGTTTAATATATATATTTCATTATATTATAATAATAATAATAATAATAATAATAATAATAAATTTAATAATAACTTATTATCATTAGTATAATGTTGTTTTTAGTACAAATTTAACATAAGGCATGATGATTGTTCATAGATGTAAATTAATAAAGTGATACTTCACGTATGCTACCGTAGCAGAAACAGTAATAGGCAATGAAATGTAGCTCATTTTCTTATCCTGTAGCGCACAATATTAGAAAAGTAATAGGAAATGAAACTTGATCCATTTAATTTTCATTGTAGCACTTTCATTTTGTTTTCCAATAATATATTAATAAAAGTATGACGATTTTCATAGAAAAAAATTAATGTCGTATACCTTTGGAAATGTCCTGTAGCAAAACCAAAAAAAGTTAGTAGGATGAAAGTGATGCCTTGATATATTTGCCACTGTAGCGCTTGAACTAAGACCATGAAGCATTAATATATTGAGGTTCTGCTACCGTAGCGAAATGTAATTGGTATGAAATTGAAACTTTACTAAATATTTATTTAATATTGAACATTTCTTCCACATTTATTTAATATTGAATATTTATTGAATAGTTGATGTTTATTGAATATCGAATTTTAATTATTGATGATGGATTAATTATTCTATGTTTAATTAGTGATGTGTGTTTTGTGAATTGAAGTTAAATTGTGTTGATGTTTGTGTATGTACAAATGTGTGGTAATTCAAGTGTGATGAATTGTTGAAGATATGCATGAATATTAAGATTATGGAATGATCTTAATTGCATATGATTATTGAAATTGCACATACATCATTTGTGTCAAGAGGCAATGCTTATTAGTTCTGTGGAAACTAGTGACTTGTCTCAAACCTAGAGCGGGATTTGAAAGTTTAGGGAATGAGTTTTTTGTGTGTTATTAGTCTAGAGAACGTATCCGGTTTAATGTAAAAACCGAAAAATAATAACAAGTGTTGGTACCACATGGCATGAATTGTGTTTGAGTCTTGCATTGAGTCTCATTGTGTATATGTTATTATATGAGGTTATGTATATTTATGTGAATTGGTGAATTATGAACTTGTGTATATATATACTTGTGAATAGTATGGTTACTTGATTATGTTGATGAAACTTTAAAGTGTGAGAATAATTGTGATTATACTTGTATTCTTTAAAATTATATATTATCTTATAATTTCAATAATTATGTGAATTCTCACCATTCTGTTGGAATAATGTTTTATACGACATCGCTCAGGTATCGAGGAGTAGAGTTGCTTCTAGAGCGAGGTAGATGTTGGAGTAGTTTGATTTGTGTCTTTATTTATGTTGGGTCGAGTCGTGCTCTGATCATGTAACACTGGGATCGTTGTGATTTATGTTTGAGAGATACATTGTGTACTCTACATTATTTTGTTATTGTTATTTGAATTTTATGTGGAGCATTAGCTTTTATGCCTAATTATTGACTATGAATGAGATGAGCATGAGACTTTCATTATATCCATTATAATTGATATAAATCCGCTGCTACATGCTAATGTGGAAGTGTATGAAAAACATGAATTTATTTTAAATGTTAATGAGCATGACAGGTATTTGTGTGATGTTTTGAAATTATATGTGACACCCTTTTGTAAGATGCACGATAATTTCTCTGATTATTTATATATATTTCGCGGGGTTTAGAAGGGTGTTACATTATATATGTTGGACATTACATGGTGAGATAAGTAACGAGAATGTTGAACCCGGGAATAATACGACCTGTACATTACGTGGTGAGATAAGTAACGAGAATGGCAGGGATACATATGATTGTGATTGTGTCAAAGAGATTGCAGAAACACTTGAAGAAGATCTTCAAGATTGTCCCAAGATGTTTGAGAGGTTGGTAAGCGATGCAGAGAAACCGTTGTATAAAAGTTGCACTACTTTCACAAGATTGTCTGCGGTATTAAAGTTGTACAACTTAAAGACGGGTAATGGATGGTCGGATAAAAGTTATTCTTACATTTACATTTTCTTATTTTCTTATTTACATGATGATCTTAGACTCCTACAAAATCCAAATCAAAAGATAAGGGAATTATTGTGCGGGAAACCGATTATGATACATCAAAGAAACAGGTACTACTACAATTACATGATTATCTTATTATACATTAATTACTGAACTTATATGACTTTTAGGTTCATGATCAACAGTTGCAACAAGTAAGCAAGGGTGAGATGCCTAAATCTTCCAAGGTGCCCAACAAAAAAAAGGTCGAGCCAAAAAAAGCACATGTTCCTCGATTTAGGTTGTGCCTTGAAACATATGTGGCTGAGGGTGGCATCTGGCAAATACCTATGGATGAAGCAATTTTCAGTTTTAAATATGTCAAAACAATTGCTAAGGAGGATCTGGACCAGATTTTCCATCATTCTGAATTGGGCATCGGTGTTATGCATTCCTACATAAGGTACTCCAACCCGTTTTAATTAAATAATTGAACATTTTAAAATTTGCTCATTTAACTGAATATTCTAATGTTGATTATGTTTTTCTTTTAGGCTCTTGGATGACAAGTTGTTGGTCCTGCATGATTTGACTTCAATATTCACATTCTTATCTGCTAATTGTATCAACACACGGTCAATAGAACACACACCAGATGTAGTCAAATATTACATAGTCCGAAGATTTATTGTCGCGACTACAGAGAAGTTGTTCTTGTTGCCATATAATATTGGCCATGGGTTAGACTTCAAGCTCTAATTCATTCATTATAATTATTCGATTTTTGCCATTCTATATAACATTTCCGTCTAAATTGTTGCCTTATTTTATAGTTGACACTGGTTGTTGGTCGCGATTAATCCGATGAAAAAAATAGTGTATTATCTGGATTCATTGGATGGCGATCAAACAAAATATCCTGATATGAAGAATATGATTGATACGTAAGTGATGAGATATATTGTTCTGAATAATTATATATCTTTATTTATTATGTGACATTGTTCTAAATATGCATTTATATTATGTTAGAGTTATACAAATATTTAGAGCATAAAGAGAAGCAACAATGCTAAAAAGCAAGGCTAACAACATTAGCTGGATCAGAGTGCAGGTATATTTTCCCATTTTTTACTGTTATAGTGCTCCTACTTGATAAAAATATTTAAGCTAAATATCCTGATAAATGTTCGTTTGTTTTTTTCATTTACAATGTCCTCGTCAGCACAATGGGATTGACTGCGGATATTTTGTATTGCGCTTTATGAAGGAAATTATTCATTCTGGTCAAATAGAGATTCCAACCATGGTATGGATCAATTCATAAATTATACGATTCATTTTGATAATTAACCGATATTTCATCTGAGTAATTAGTTTTAAAACTAAATCGTGCATGTTCTGTTATATTATGTAGTACTTTGATGATTTCAAGTGCGGTACTTACTCGAAAGCAGTATTGGAAAAAATAAAGGAGGAATGATGTCAATTTATTCTTGAGTTGAGAATTGTATAAGGTATATGTATATGGAAGAAATATTTCTAGAAGTCATATATATTTGTAAAGTTAACGAATTTGTAATTATATGTAAATTGACTGTATTTGTGATGTTGTAATTCTGAGGATCGGATTGTGTTGTAATATATTTAAGCAGGTTTATGTGTATTAAAATGATTATGGGTAAAGCGATGAATTACAATGTATACTTTAGTTATTGTGTATATTGCAAACTTATGAATATACATAAATAAGACCAAAGTAATTGTTATATATAAGGCCAATGTGTTGAATTAAATGACTGAATTATAAGCAGAGAATGTAATTGTTATAAGCAGGTTTATCGAGAAATATATAAAAAATGTGATTATTTTAAAAAAAATTCAAAATCGTAAAGAATAGACAACGCTTTTACAAAAAAACGCTGCTAAAGGGGGCACAAAGAGGGCTAAAAAAAGCGCTGCTATAGGTGGGGAAAGGGGGGGGGGGGGTAGGGGTGTACGCGGGTTGGGTTGGACCGGGTTCGCCTTAACCCGTTCAACTTTCAATGGGTTGGGTTTATCATCAAACCCGTAATTCTACTTTAAAAATCGACCCGAATCAACCCGGATATTTACGGGTTGGGTAGGGTTGGGTCCACGGGTTGTGTATATAATAATTATTATTTTCAATTTAAAAAATCTATAACACAATTCAATATAATTTTGCATATTTCAAACAATTAAATTATTTACGTAGTGGAGACAAATCCTACATATAAAATAGAATAATTAAAAATATAACAATTAAAATTTTGAAATGTATTTTCTTTGTCATAAAAAATATTAAGATACATATACACCATTAATTATTTATATATTTTCATTAATATACCTTAATTTATAAAAATTTATTAGTTATTTTGATACTCAAATGTTATCCATTACAAATATATATCAACATGTGTAAAACAAATATATAATAATATACAGTATATATTAGTTGTTTTGATACTCAAATGTTACCTTTTCTAGCACATGCTTAAAAGTAGGTCCGTAAACTATCATATATATTAACACTTAATAATATATAAAATTCCATAAAATATCATTTCCATAAAATTCATAAATTCTAAATAATTCAAAAGCAAATAAACATCACTTAGTCTTAAAATAACATAGATGTATTGGTCCAATATTGGTCTAATAGCACCAAAATCTAACAGCAACTATAAAAGATTCCAGCACCAGTGAAAGGTTTAGCAACAACAGAAAATCCAGCAACAGTAGCTGTAAAAGATTCCAGCAACAACAATGAAACGTTTAGCAACAACATAAAATCCAGCAACAACAGTTAAAAGTTTAAGCAACAATAGTCAAAAGAAGAAGAAAAAAAACAACACTAGAAAATACCTTAAAATCTAGTAGTAACAGTTGTATTGAGCTCAACCGCAGTAATGCCAACATCAATAGAAACTAATCCAGCTAACTCTATATATGTAAACACAAACAACTAATAAGAATAATGTAATGTAATACTAAAATAAAATAGATTTTAAAATTCAAACATATAATTCATACCTGACTCAACCTTTTCCAATTCAACCAACTCTTTTTCTAAATCAATGACCTTAGGAGATTTGATCCAATTTTGAGTACAAATCAAAGCTTCAACGGTAGAGGGATTCAAGGAACTACGAAATGAATCAAGGACACGACCTCCTGTACTAAAAGCGGATTCAGAAGATACAGTGGATACAGGGATAGCCAATATATCTCTAGCTATGCGGGAAAGCACATGATATTTATTTGTTTTTCCTTTCCACCAAGTGAGAATATTAAATGTAGGAGAATCATCTTCAACACCATCCTCCAAATACCTTTCCAACTCATTTTTTTGCACTTCACATTGTTTTTTCTTCATATTCATTCTAAACAAATTGTCCCAATCTTCATCATCTTCACCATTTTCAATTCTAGAATGAGAGGCAATGTTTGAAGATGAGGCATTGGAACCACCATCATGAGAAACAGGATACAAAAATAAATAGTGCTCAAACAATTTAGCAATGAGAGATTTCAATTTCTTTAACATATCCTCTGACAATTTTTCACCATACATCCGAGTAAAACAAAATTCAATATAGTCAAGCTTATAACGAGGATCAAGATAAATAGCAACAAAGAGAAGATAATTTATTGTATTGCTTTCCCAATACTTGTTGTACTTCAATTGCATATTTGCTGTCATGGTTTTCAAAATTGGATCACTAACATTGTGCCTCCATTTATTCAACGTTTTTTTAATATCCATCAACTGTTTGAAAAAAGAGTTAGCAGTAACATGCAATGACCCAGAAAAAGAAAGTGTGGCACAACATATAGACTTGATACCCCATTCCTTCATGCAATTCTCTAATGTTATCCCTATAGTTTCACCTTTATGGTCAGCAATTATACCAAAGCTTAATATACTCTTCTTTAAATTCCACTCGTCATCAATATAGTGAGCTGTAACACACATATAATTCATATTCTGAATCGATGTCCAAGTATCAGTGGTAAGAGACACCATTTTTTTATTAGCAGACAACATAGATTTCAATTTTTCTTTCTCATCGAAGTACAAGCATAAACAATCTCTGGCAACAGTGACACGAGATGGAATTTTGAATCTTGGTTGAGCCTCTTTCATGAACATATTAAATCCTTCATTTTCAACATATTTAAAAGGGAGCTCATCAATGATTATCATCTTTGCAAGTGTTAATCTAGTCCTCTCTTGATTAAAATCAACAAGTTTCAAGCTAACACTATTAGGATCATCCTCACTTTCTTTTCCAATAGCTATAGTTTTTTGTTTCTTATCAACTACCCTATTTGGATTTTTCAGGCACACTTTCAAATGTTTATGCATGTTAGTAGTGCCATGACTACCACTATTTGCAGCATATTGTTTCCCACAATACTTACCTATAGCCTTATCATTAACCCTTTTAAAATCTTTCCAAACTGTAGAAGGTTTTCTAGAGGGTTTTCTTTTGCTTACCTCTATTAGTGCACTTGGTGGCAATGATGACAACCCTTCTCCTTGTATTTGTTGAACTTCTTGCTCTTGTTCAAGTGGATGAGCAACATCTTCACTGACAATTTGTGATTGTTCCACTTCCATTTTCTATAAAAAAACAATTTTTAATATAAATTATTATTAAAACAACATTAAACAAAATATATTTAAATTAATAATATGAAACAAAACAGGACTTTGCATCAAAATATATTTTCATCATATGAAACAAAATAGTACTTTGCATCATATGAAACAAAATAGTACATTACATTGAACCTATCATCATATTTTGCATTGATATAAAACTATTGAAGTACATACTGTAAAAACAATATATTGCATTGAAATAAATATATTGTAGAACTATAAAAAGTATAAAACCTTATTCAATATGGAGACGAAACTATGAGAGAGTCAAAGTATAGACTGTGGATTTTCGAAAGCAAGATGGAATTGGAATGTGAGGGAGTAAAATGAAAAAAAAAATCGTGAGAGAAAGAGGAGTGGTGACGTTTGAGATTTGCCGTAGTAAAAAAATAGGGTTAGGTTAAGTGGTATTGTCTTTAGTTTAGTAAGTTTCTAATATATACTTAATTATTATTAGTTAATAAAGATTCATTAAAAAAATAAAAAGGCAGTAAAGTGTAAACTAGAAGTGCATAAGTCAAGCAAGCATGATTAATATTAATAATAATGTTTAATTATAATAATAATAATAATAATTTAATGTGTGATTGGAAACTGGAAGGAAAGTGCAAAAGATCTTTGTGTACGTTACAATTTACAAAGTTATAGCAACTTTAAAATTTATAAATAATAATATAATAATAATAATAATAATAATTAATTATGCCACGTCAACGGGTTGGGTCAACGGGTTCATGGGTTTAGAAACTAAAACCCAATACCCGAACCAAATCTATACGGGTTGTTACGGGTTGGATCGGGTATACCCGTAAATGAATGGGTCCGGGTAATTAGTGGGTTGGTTCGGTTTGGGTAGGCGGGTTTGCGGGTCGACCCGCACCCATGAACACCCCTAGGGGGGGTCTACGAAAGCGCTTCTTAAAAGCGCTGCTAAAGGGTGGGTCTAAGAAAGCGCTTTGAAAAGCGCTGCTAAAGGGGGGTCTAAGAAAGTGCTTCTCAAAAGCGCTGCTAAAAGGGGCAGGGTGGGGGAATAGACAGCGCTTCTATAAGCGCTGCTAAAGGGGGAAAAAGCGCTGCTAAAAGTGCTGATAAAGGGAGCCTATAGCAACGCTTTTTCCATATAAAAAGCATCGTCTTTACCTTTAGCAGCGCCACTTTAGGCAGCGCTGGTAAAGGTCTTTTTTGGCATAGTGTATAAACATCACAAACAAAACACTTGTACGAAACAAACATAGTTAACGGTACGAGAACATTATACTTGGTTTTTACAACACCAAATGAAAACATGAAAACATAATAATTAAGTCTTAAAAACATAGAAACGGTAAACAAGAATTAATAACTTTCGGACATCTCTTTCATCGTCTTTTTCAATGGCTTGTTATTGCTTCATAGTTATGCTTTTAAACATTTTTCTCATAAATGCGATGCCTTTTCGATGCTCCTTAATGCTTAGATCCACTTTGGTGTCAAGTGACACAAGCTTTTTGTATATTAGTTCATTTATATAACTCTCTTCGGGTATCGAAATAGCATCTGAAGAAGACGAATCATCTTTGTAAACAAACCACTTCGCATCATTCTGAACAATTCCAGTGTTCTTAGCTGCTGTAGACACGTTGATTTCGTTGACGTTGGATGTCATCGTAGTGTGAGGTTCCCGTTGAAGTAGAACTGTACTTGCTTCCAAAATGATAGAGATTATTCTTTTGTAAGGAAGTCCTCCTGTTAAAGTTCTGACGTGTCCCGTATGTTGCAAAATGACATACGCTCAATTTACCTGCAAGTTATTTTTGACGGCAAACAACAATTGCATCTCCATATCACTCACCTGATAGTGATTAGAGTGCTTAGGAACCAAAACATATGCAAGAATATAATGCAACAATCGGTCGCTAACTGTGAAGTTATTTGCCAACTTGATTACATGAGAAGACTCGTGGTTTTGCCTACTCATCAGTTCTTCTTGGGTAATCTAGGAAATCTCAATATAATAGTTCATTGTTGAAAACTCATTCTAAGGTGCTTCTTCCAATTGAAAATCAGTTTTGATCCTAGCACCTTCAGATGAAATTTCTAAACACAATGCCAATTGTTCTAAAGTTTTAGTGATGGTTTCACCCTTAATAGTAGCTTGCATGCCCATATTTCCATCATTTTCATGTCTAACAATCAATGTAAAATACAATTCATTTACTAAGTTTGGATAAACCGGTCCAATATTGCTAACTAATTTTTCTACACCTTGTTTCCTAAGCAGTTCTGGAAAATTAAATTTATGAGCAGGAAAGGAAGGTAAACTCACATACTTTACCGACATGAGCAGTCGGTTCCGAGTGTTGAAGTTTAGTCGCCTTGCCTTGACGATTTTTTGTTGCTCAACTACTGTAGGTTCTGAAGATTCTCCCATTTTATTTTTCCCTTTATTTTGCATTTTGTGTGCCATGGATTATGCTTGGAGCTTTTCTAGGTTTTGGACAGAGAAGAGTGGTATTCTAATTTTGGATGAGAAGAGAGAAGTCTTGGTGAGGTATTTAAAGAATATTGAGTGATAATGGAGTTTTATGAGCTTTTACTCAACCTTTGAATGGGATGAAGAAAAGATTGAAGAGTGAGATGAAAGTGTTGAAGAGTCAAGAGAGCCTTAAAGTGAATAAATAAGTGTTTATGGAAGTGGGAAAGAGAAATAAAGTTAGAATAAATGTTAACTTTTTTAGTTATGGTTTTTAAAATTTTTTGAAAATTATTCAGTGGTAACCGGTTACCAATAATGGGTAATCAACTACCCCCTCACAAAAAAGCCACAGAATCTGAAAACAAGACAGAGGTAACTGGTTACTCAAAACAGGTAATCGGTTACTCCATGCAAAAAACAACAACTTTTTTCTCTTAACCATAAAGGAATTTCCACAAAGTTTATCAAGACATGTTAATATAAGTTATAATGCACATGTGAAAAGATACACAAGTTGAAATAAATAATTTTATCTTATGTAAAAAGTAAAAATGAAAATTGTCAAGTTTTCACATATAGAAACAATATAAGGAAATAGTAAGGAATATCTTTACATTATTTTAAAGAAAAATAATGAAATTATATTGAAGATTTATACATCACCTTCGTCTAAGATTCCAAGTTCCCTTCGAATTTTGTAAAATGATTCTCTTGAAAGAGGTTTTGTGAATATGTCCGCCAGTTGATTATGAGTATCGACAAATGTAACTTCAACGTCCTTTTGTAGAACATGATCTCGTAGGAAATGGTGACAGATATCAATATGTTTTGTCCTATAATGCATAACAGGATTCTTCGTAATGTTGATTGCACTTGTGTTGTCACGCCTTAGAGGAATGCATCCGAGATTTAATTCATAGTCATGTAATTCTTGTTTGAGCCAAAGAATCTGAGCATGATAACTTCCTACCGCAATGTATTATGCCTCTGCCGTGCTAAGGGCAACACATGCTTGTTTCTTACAGGACCAAGAAACTAATGCATTTCCAAGAATATGACATGTTACACTCGTGCTTTTGCAATCTATCTTACATCCTGCATAATCTGAGTCATAATAACCTACTAGATTACATATACTACCTTTCGGATACCATAGTCCAACGTTGTTTGTTCCTTTGAGATACTTCATGATCCTCTTCACAATGGTGAGATGCGACTCTTTTGGATTTGCTTGAAATTATGCACATAAACACGCACTGAACATAATGTCAGGGTGAATTGTCGTGAAATATAAAAGAGAACCAATCATACCTCGGTACTTTGTGATATCAATTGAGATTCCCGATTCTTCTTGATCAACATAGGTTCTTGATCCCATCGGTGTAGACATTGCTTTACAACTATCCATGTTAAATATTTTCAACAGTTTCTTACAATACTTAGATTGGTTGATGAAGATGACATCCTTCATTTTCTTTATTTGTAATATAAGGAAATAATTCATGTTTCCCATCATAGACATTTCAAACTCTCCTTGCATCATCAGCGAGAATTCTTTACATAGATCTTTGTTAGTTGATCCAAATAAAATATCGTCAATGTAAACTTGAACTAATAAAATATTGACCTTGATACACTTGATGAACAAGGTATTGTCAACTTTACCCTTTTCAAATCCCTTTTCGCATAGAAAATTGTTGATTCGATCATACCATGCCCTTGGTGAATGCTTTAATCCATAAAGAGTTTTTCTCAACTTAAAGACATGTGATGGATTCTTAAAGTACTCGATGCCAAGGATTTGCTTAACGTAGAATTCTTCGCTGACGTAGCCGTTCAGGAAAGTGCTCTTAACGTCCATCTGGTACAACTAAAAATTCAATGAACACGTATAAGCAAGTAATAAACTGATAGCTTCTAACCTTGCAATCGGAGTGAATGTTTCTTCGAAATTGATTCCTTCTTCTTGATTATAACCTTGGGCCACCAATGTTGCCTTGTTTCGAACAATTATCCTATTCTCATCAAGTTTGTTCTTAAACACCCAGCTGATACCTATGATGTATTTATTACATGGTATAGGAACAAGTTCCCAAACTTGATTCTTTTCAAATTGGTTTAACTCTTTTTGCATGGCAATTATCCATTGGTCATCTCCTAAAGCTCCATCAACTTTGGAAGCTTCAATTTGAGATACGAACGCCATATTAAAGAATGCATCCTTGAGATTAAGTCTAGTTATAACGCCTTGACTAATATCACCAATTACTTTATCAATTGGGGTGATATTTGTGTGCTCTCCATTCTTTAGGTAGATCATCGTCTTTTGACTTTTGTTGAATCGGTTCTTCTTGATGCTTAGGTTGACCATTTGATTGAGAAGTACCTTCTTTAGGAATATCTACAATATCATCATCATCATCACACAAAATAACTTCCTCATTGGAAGGGTTAGATTCATCAAATTTAACATGCATAGATTCTTCAATAGTTAAAGTTC